CCCGACAACAGGGAGGCCGTGGCTATTTGAGTTTGGAGTGTCTATATGACAGAATGGTACTGGATACAGCCTGTAAAGTCGTCAGGAGTTCGGATCCCCTTCTCTGCATGGTCCGTGACCTTGAGAGAGCAGGAATTGGAGCATTTCTCCTTAGGGCAGTTGCCCGAGCAGCTGATGAACTCGGTATAGTTTTCTACTCTGAACGAGGTGACCACAACTCTGTCACCGAGTTGGAACCCGTTCAGCAAAAAGCTCATATGAAAGCCGTAGAAATCACCTTACTTCTGCGGAAACACAAGGATAAGCCAATGAATGGGGTCTTCTACAATAACATTGGAGACCTTGGCTCACCAAAGCGCCTGACGTTCGCTTTTCTCAGGTCTAGTGGGCTGAAGTCGGTAATTGAGGGGTTCATTATGGCTTGTGAGGATGGTGTCTTCAACACCTTAGTCTACCGCAGTCGCGTGATGGGTATAGAGATTCCTGACACAAGCTGCAGGGCCTGCTGCGGGACGCCCGAGACCCTAATACATTTGCTTTCAGCATGTCCAGCATATGCGGTCTTGGCCTATATTCATCGACATAACGCGGCCCTAAGAGTGCTATATTAACATCTACGTTATTGACGAGACACTGGTGTTGCCCTACGCTCCGGGGGATATTGAATCCGTTGTGGGGAACGAAAAGTGTCGAATTTATTGGAACTATTCGTTTCCCACCCTCAGACTCATACAAGCTAATAAGCCTGATGTAGTCTTTCTTGACTACCAGAGCAAAACGATATTTGTCGTGGAGTTTTCAGCTCCTGGCGAGACAAATATCGTCAGAAAAGAGGAGGAAAAAGGGATAAAATATCGAGATTTTCTCTTCGAACTCCGTAGACTATATCCATATCACTCTGTCAAGATGATTGTTCTGATTATTGGAGTCCTTGGTGGAATGATGCCCTCTCAACTCTCGAATCTTAAAATCGTACCAGCTTGCCGCACTAAGGCAGTAATTTTAGCCGCACAAATGCAGAAGGCTCACTGCGCTTGTTCAGGGCACATGATTTTCGGACCCAATGATCACTTATCCTACGGAGTGGGGAGTGGTCACTGGTTAATAATGCTGGCGCGCCCTCCCGAATGTATCGGGGCTTCGGGGAATAGAGCCTGACCAGCGCACACTACGGTAAAAAAATATAATAATGATGATGTTTATTTGCATAATAAAATGAAATATTACAAAACAATGCAACATATTTGAAAGATTAAATACCCAGAAAAATCACAGAAGACGTTCAAACTGCTTGTTGTTGTTCGTATGGGGGCGACAGCTGATTAACGGAAAAACAGATTTAAAACAGATTTATATATCATTTATTATGAATAGGGACCTGGCCTATTCTAATCAGAAGAAAGTCACAATATGAGAATGTTCAAACACAAAAAAAACACTTGACAATTCGAATATAGAAATTACCCTATTTGAGTTTTAGAATGTGGTCCTGCAACCTGGACTCGTTTTGTATATGTGACTTATCGAAAATATCAATAAAGAATGCATTATGAAGAATTCAGTAGATATACCCAAAAATCGTGTGTCACTTATATAGGTACTTCGACTGAATTCAATTGAGGTAGTTGTTGGTAAGATGATAGCTGGAAGATAATTTGGACAGAATCTGGATAGGCTGTCTATTATAGGAATTAGGATGGACAGCAGTTCTTATAGTAGTTCAATTTTACACCTTTACAAATCGGTACCCACCATATCCAATACGGACCAACGTTTTTATCATTTTAGAAAATTCATTTTCAAAAATATACAATCAATGGCCGAAACATTCCCTGCACATGACCATTTCTCCTACAAAGTGAACATTTTTGTGTTCAAGTTTCTGCAATCCATTGCATTTGAAGAACTTCACTGTGTGTTATATTTTTCATCTTGATATGCTTATATATTTCTTACTACTTTATCAATATCTAAGTAACTAACTATCAATAACTTTCCAACAATGTGGTCGTGTTTACTCGCTTCTGAAGTTGGAAAATCGTATTGAAGAAAAAAATTCACGTATTATCATTTGTTAGACATATTTCACTAATTTTGCAATATTTGTTACTCCAACCTTAAATCCATACCTACAGAAACTTTCTCCTAGTAAAATACTTGATGTAAATGTGCGAATGAGGACTACACTGAGAAACTCGACGAAAACATATTCAATCGCAGCTCTCTAATTGCGTTTAAAATATGTATAATGTTAAAGAAATCATGTTGAACCATAATAATCTGACATATTTATTGAAACTGCGCCCGCATAAGTCATTGATTCATTGTGATCATGCGGAGAAGTTGCTGTGCTGAGCCAGCGTTTGAAATTATTTTGGAGACTGCAACGTCGGCTGAGGACACAAACCCAGAGCGATTGCTTCACAGGATCAGCCAGGCTGCACTTAACCCGGGCCGCACTGCAGGATGCTAGATGGTCGCTTGGAGGGTGGTTGGTAAAGGTGGATAGTGGAGGGGCAATGCATTCTGGACGCAGTGAAATGAAGCCAGTATCTAACTGACAGCGGAAAAGTAACAATCATGCCTCTCTTTAATAAATAAACAAAATCATTGAAACTAAACATTATAGAACATAAACGTTAAAAATAAAGAGTTCCATATTATGAAAAAAGGATCTTGCTGTTGAGTTGTAGATGTTCCACCATACGAATCTAATGATTGTTGTTCCATAGAAAAGCATGACACATCAGTAGAATTTGACAATGATGAGTACTGGGTACCACTATCATACTCGTGGCTAAACTGAGGGGCTCCCACAGACAAATTTCTTTTTTCATATTAATTCAACATGAGGTCTTGAAATTTTCCACTGACTCAGCCTATGGTCTGGACTTAAATCCCGCATATATGGAAGTAAACTCTTGAAGAAACACAAATCCGGATCATCTTCGGAGCTGATTTCTTTTTCCAGAAGTGCAAATTTTTCCTTAATGGGTCTGCTGGGTCCCAAATTGCCCTTCTTTTGTACACAGAACTTATTACGCTTTCCTCCATAGCTAGGCTAACCGGCTGGAATATCAAACACGACTAATTAGGTTGGATAGACGCCTGGGGTACCTTCGGATGGTTTCTTGAGGTTAGATGGTAATGGGGGGCCACTGCGGCTACCGTCGTTCTGTTACTCACGTTTATAAAGTGCAGGATGTTAGCCAGGCAGCTGTCTACCATCCACCATCCTACCAACCTTCCTGCAGTGCGGCCCGAGCTTTAGGGTGCGTTGATGAACCCAAGTGGAAGACTGATTCCAAACGGGTACACAGAAAACTGATGTATATCATAGTTATGGTTCACCAGCTTTATATATTAGTACAAAATCAGAAAATGGGCTCAGGAAAATATCAATAATACTTGAGAAAAAACTTTAATGAAGGAACTTTTGGGAAAGAGAACTGAAGAATTACTTTAACAGTGGAGATGGTATCAGAATAATTACTGGGCTACTCAATGGATATTGTCCATTCAGAAAACACCTAAGAAATACAGCTATATAACGAAGACCATAGCTGCAGGTTGTGCAACAGGAATACAGAGACCAGCTCATCATGTTTTATGAGAATGTGCGGCACCGAATCACAGGAAGCTAATAAATTGTGTGTAACCAATATCTAAGAAAAGATCTGTAAAAATTAGTACAGGAAACAAGATTGTCGGAATGGGTGTTTCCCAGAGACTTAAAAGAATAGAGTCAGGTGGCTCTCAAAGAGGCTTTCGAGTGAACTGATTCACATACAAAAAAATCAATACTGAAAGGGGTATATTGAAAGAATGAAAACAAGTTATTTCAATTAATTTGAACGAAATTTCAAATGCGATATCAGCCAATGGTCGACCAGAATTAAACTCAAATTGAATACGGCAAAAGCAGTTGCTTTAGTCATTGGAAGTAATCGAAATGTTCAATCATCACTTGAAGGTGTAAATGTCGATATATAATGTTGAATGGAAATATTCATCACATTGTAAGTGAGATAAAGAAACTGGGAATAGATAAACATTTTACATTTGATAGGCAAGTCATTAAAAAGTACGTGTTTGTGATTCCAATAAAAATATATTGTGCTGGGACAATATACTAATATATTTTAACAGATGATGTTAAATTGAAAGTTAAAAACTCAGTTGTTTTGAGTCATATAGTTTTTGGGAGTATATGTAGTAAACTTTTATTACTTCAATGACTTCCTCAGAAACCAAGTGAAAATACTCCAAAACTTTTCTGTGCATTTCTGCTATTCGCAACTCAAAAGAAAAGAACACATAACTCTGCGTTACAATAGAATTCAACTACAGAACTCAACTCCACTACATGCAGTACTCATTTATGAAGTTGATAAAATTGGAAAGCCATAATATCTGAAAGAACTTCTCATGCTCTATGCCAAGGCTCGTTTTAAGACATTAGCATGTGCGAATGAAGGCTCTATATAGACTGAAAAACTCGACGAAAAAATATTTAATCGCAGCTCTCGGATTGAGTTTAAAATATGCATAAATAATGTTAAAGAAGTCATGTTACATTTTAGTCTGCCATATTTATTATAACCGCGTCCGCATAAGCCAGGGATTTATTGTATTCATGCGAAGAAGTTGCTGTGCTGAGCCCGCGTTGAAGTTTCTCCAGGAGACTGCAACGTCGGCTGAGGACACAAACCCAGAGCGATTGCTTCGCAAGATCAATTTATAGCAGGGTCGATTATGAATATATTATTGCGTATTTCAGTATGTGCTCATCAGCGAAATGACCTGCGAATAGACAAGACAATAGATTGTTTCTGTAGGCCAGACAATGAACGGTGCCCTTTTCAAACTTACCGCCGTACAGCGCTCTCGTACCTGTGCTCTCTCGGCCAGGTAAGACAGGTTGCGGGGCGCGGCGAGAGGCAGGTTGGAATGCGGTGGGGGGCGAAGCAGTCGCCACTAACTCTCGCTTAGTTCATCTCAAGAATCGAAACGGCGAATACGTCGCGAGTCGTTTCTTCCGCGAAACACCTCTTGTTTATGTGTGTTATTCAATCGAATCTGGCCGTGGACCCGTAACAGACGAGTGCTCGATGAACTGAAAGTATTGGGAACGAGTTTGGTGAATAATCGGTGCGAGTGTGTGTAGCGAATGTTATGTTTGTGACCGCAACTACGGATTACAAATACAGGCTGGTGGCTCCTGCGAGAGCAGCATAAGAATATACTTATTTCCCGCAGGTATGTGGAATGAACACGTAGTATTCCGCCCATGTATCCCGTGTGCTGCAAACTCGCACACTTTTTCAGTTGGCAGAACTTCTTTCTCTCTCTCGGCCGAAATCCGTGACATTGCTCAAATATATTGAGCCATGTGTTCGCGGCATACGCGTATTCGGCTCTGAAGCTATTCCATCTTTGAATTCCGCTGTTTTTGCCCGCCCTCCGAAAATGCCATGCCCGAGTTGTTTACTAGCTTACTTCTGGACCAGGATTTGTGTTCAGGAGGGGTTTCGAAACGGGCAGGGAAATACTTGAGGTATAGTGGAAACTCCGTGATGTAATTGGAGAGAAATTAATTTGGTGATACTGAAAGTATTGTGGTTAACAGAAAATTGTCATTCAATACTGTTCAGAAAAGTAGTACTTGAAATACAAACAATTTCACTACAGATGTGTCAATGATCGAAATTGATAATATGCTGGTATATCGTTTAGGATATACCTTGAATCATCTGTGATCCGGATAAATTGTAATGTTTTTTACTAAGTATATCATTCATGAAATGAAATATGAGTTTTTTTGCATGTCTAACAAGTCAAGTACTGGAAAGCTCTCAATTAAAATAAAATGTGGAAACATTTATCAGCAATCACTTTCATTTTCAGTATATATTGATACTTTATGGTTATTGTGTTAAATTAACTTCATCAGATACATATATTGGTATATGTGGTAGATATTCATATATATTTTAGTAAATCTAGAGACTAAATATTCATATTGAACCTGAAATGGTTTTGAAACCGGCAATGATTTTGAGGAAATAATTCGTTGTTTATATTTTTAGGAAATCAATATAAATGAAGTTTTTTTCAAACTAAGAACTTACGGTAGATCTATAAATTAGTATCTCCACCTTCTATTAGTTCCAATCCCGATTTATTTGTTTTAAACATCTGCTAAGAGTTAAGAAATGAGAAAAATGGATTTTATGTATATCGGTTCAAAGTACGCGCTATTTTTTCTCCCATGCCCCCACAAAGTTTTTGACATTTCACAACTTCCTCCAGATACTATTTCATCTTCTGGATCTTCTCGAAACTCAACTTAACATTAAAAAGAGGAATATTTCATGGAGATATCAATTTTTAGAAACAAAAACATCATATTAACCTCGACATTAACGAAATGAATTACGATGTGAGTATTACCTGCGGTCGCTGAGATTTTGAGAATCTCGAAAACGGCACCGTCAAAAGAATCACGTGAATTGGGAACCATTACAAACAATTTTAAAGAGTGGCCGCAGTGGTAGAAGTTATGGAGTATGTTTTCAGAGAGGCTAGTAGAGCTTTTGTTCTGGTTATTAGCGAGCCTATGTCAAGGGATGCTTTTTGGGCATCCAAAGAAGTGGCACTTCATGCTTTGACGATGTATTGACTTTAGTCCAGTCGAGATAATCGAAAATGAAGTAGTTAGTTTAGAACTGAAAATTGGTACAGACCTTGAAAGTTTTCTGAAGGTCAAGAAAGACTTCTTCGACTTGCTTTATTCAGCATTGATGTTTTTTAGAATAAAGCGTAGACAAGGAAAATGTAATAAATCGATATTTTCGAACTTTTTAGCACACATGAATCATCTGTTTTGACTGGACTATTGTTGGTACTGGAATATGTTCCATAAAAGTTTCAGAGTGATTATTTGTCGTTCACGTTTTCTTTCGAATACGGGATCATTCGACTATTACCTTTTGGAGACAGCATTGAGTGATTAGACGAGTTTGTAAAGCGATTAATCTCCACTAGGTATTGAGTATTACAAGAAAGAAAATGCCGAACTTTTGTGATTTGTATATTTCTTTACCACAATTTAACAACTATCTTGTTGATGAAGTGAATTATTCTTGAAAAGTGATTCAGGAACTTCACTTCTAAGGGGTAGGAAAAAACTGGTTGAATGAAACTAATTGATTTTTCAACATCTCGTATATTGATGATATGACGAATATGACAGTATCTATTTCATCAATGAAAATAGTTCTGAATCTGTATATTAGAGATACAGTGAAAATGAACTCAATTATACAATGATTTATAATAGTGGCAAACGTTTTCATAATGTACTGTTGTAATTATAGTCTATTCATCATTCAATTTTCAGTTAAAGTAGAACATTGAGTATTAGATGAAAACTGCATAGAAATGTTTCACAGTGTATATTGATAAAAAACCAAAATTACCAAACTCATTGAAAATTGGTTCACATCAAATATATTTTTATACATGAAATTTCAATACTTCGCTTGAAAACTCATTGCACCGTATCGAGTATGTTATCTCAAAGTAAAAATGAAACTCATTATCACGAACTATTCACATTCCTTTTCTCTCCAACCTTGATCAATATGATCAGTTCTAAAACAATGTAATTGAGAGCTAGATATGGTATTCACAACGAATATAGGTTGACCATTTATGATAATGATTTATATATTTCATTTCTATATAACACACTCTCGAATCCACACGTTCATGATGATCTGGAACTTCGACTGAATTGATTCGGTGTTGAAACTGACTATGTCAATAATGGTGTTATATATCAGTCACTACTAACACAATAATTAGCATAATAATTTGAATAAATACATCTACTTGTCAACTGTTGCAATGTTTTTCATAAACCATTCAACCGTTTCAATACATTTTTGACTGCTTTTTTTCGTATTTCGGCGTAACATAAATAGTTGGATACTAATTAGATAGTATTATTTACATTCAGCAAGATCAGAATAAACAATTTACTCTGAGGAGCCCCTGATAATAAAATTTGGCACTACTCAAAAATGTATACTGATATTTCCAATATATTCCAGGATGTGCGAGCGATAACCAAAATGATCCCTGCGATGGCCGTGCTGTGGTTGGCAAATCTGCTGATCCTGGCAGCTGCAGGAGCCGAATATGCCCGAGATTTGGAAGTCTCAGAAGGCGCCCCGGTAGGAACGAAAATAGGCTTCATAGGAGACGGAGCTTCTCCCGATAGCGGCCCACCGTACCTGATTGTACCCGTCGGTAGTTTCGTCGATACCGATCTCAGCATCGACCAGAACACGGGAGAAATAAGGACAAAAGTACCGCTGGACAGGGAAACGCGCGCGAGCTACTCCCTTGTCGCAATTCCCATCAGTGGCGACAATGTGAAAGTGCTGGTGAAAGTATTGGATGAGAATGACAACGCTCCTACTTTTCCCACACGCGTGATGCACATCGAGTTTCCGGAGAATACGCCTAGAGACGTGAAAAGAACTCTGCACCCGGCTAGGGACTTGGATCTGGACATTTTCAACACGCAGAAGTACAATATCATTTCTGGAAACACTAACAACGCGTTTAGACTGTCTTCGCACAGAGAACGAGATGGGGTTTTGTACTTGGATTTACAAATCAACGGATATCTCGACAGGGAGACTACTCCATCGTACATTTTAGTCATAGAAGCGCTTGATGGGGGTACACCCCCACTTCGAGGAGAGATGACGGTGAACATCACCATCCTGGATGTAAATGACAACCCTCCAGTGTTCAACCAGAGCCGGTATTTCGCCACCGTTCCAGAAAACGCTACCATAGGAACTAGCGTTTTACAAGTGATCGCGACAGATGCAGACGCTGAAGAGAACAGCCAGGTGGAATACTCCATCAACAGAAGGCAGAGTGACAGAGATAGTATGTTCAGAATAGACGCTTCATCCGGACTGATTTCCGTCAACAAGCCGCTGGATTTTGAGATCAAAGAGCTACACGAGCTGGTTATAGTGGCGAAAGATCACGGTTTGCAGCCTCTGGAAACTACCGCGTTTGTTTCTATCAGAGTGACAGACGTTAACGACAACCAACCGACCATCAACGTTATATTCCTGAGCGACGATGCCACTCCCAAAATCAGCGAATCTGCTCAGCCAGGAGAGTTCGTTGCAAGGATCAGCGTCCACGATCCTGACTCTGCAGCTGACTACTCAAACATAAACGTCACCCTCCGCGGGGGTGATGGCCATTTCGGACTGACAACCAGGGATAATATCATTTATTTGGTAATTGTGTCACTGCCTTTGGACAGGGAGTTGCAGCCAAACTACACCCTCGACGTGGTGGCTACAGACACTGGAACTCCTCCTCTTCACGCCTCAAGAACAATCAACCTGCAAGTGACCGACATAAACGATAACGCGCCAGAATTCCAAAAGGAGATCTATCACGCCAACGTTATGGAAGTATCAGATCCCGGCACTTCGGTGATACAGGTCGTGGCTACGGACAAGGACGAGGGGAACAACAGTGCGGTTACGTATTCTCTCCTGGAATCTCCGGAGACGCATTCCGGATGGTTCCAGATTGACTCGCGGAGTGGTTTGGTGACTACCCGGGCACATGTGGATTGTGAAACAGATCCTTCACCTCGGCTGACAGTGGTGGCCACTGATAGTGGGTTTCCGCCATTATCTTCTTCGGCGACAGTGTTAGTGACCATTCATGATGTGAACGATAACGAACCGATCTTTGACCAGAGTTTCTACAACGTTTCCGTTGCTGAAAATGAGATAGTAGGGCGTTGTATTATTAAGGTAGGTGTGTTTTTGTATTTTAAGGGAGGGCAGGCGTGATTTTATTATCATCTATGATTTCATAAGTATATGCGGGATGCAGGAGAGGGTCATGTTCTTTTTATATTATTTCTGGTTGAAGTAACAAGCAAAAAAAGAGCATCGTTAATTAAAGTTGAGCATTAAATGATGGTGTTCAAACCTATGAATATTTATGGACTGACTCGTTACTTTGAAAATTAATAATGCTCTCCATGATAACAGTTGGAAAATTTTCACATTTTTTTTTAATTCTAGGCGCGTTTCGCTAACATCGCAGCTTCAATAACATGGATAGATTTGAATCCATATAAGAATTTGACACTCGTGTTGATTTCAAATATTGCAGAGGACTTTTTGTTTGTTGTTTAGAAATCGTTTCACCTGCAATTTTCGTCTCTGAAGCATCAAGAGCTTATTGCGTAAACTCATTCCAAGTACTAGTTTGTGCAGTTTGATAGATATTTCGAGAAATCGTAAAAACCATTAAAATAATTTCGAATTTTTCATAAATCTTCAAAATGGAGATGATATCATTCATCAGAAAAGGGATTGTGGATGATACTCTGTCGTAATCATTTTACAGAACATCGCTAACTTGATTAAGTTATTAGTCGAAAGATTTTTTTTTTGAAATGATTCATATCAAATACAGTTCCTTATATGTATCGTAAATAATATAGCCAAGACGATGATATGCTTCAATTAGTAGTGATGTGAGAACTTTTCAAAATATACCGAGATTTTATAATATTATTTATAACCTTCAAGGTTTTTGGACACGTTTGTTGAATCTTTGCCTTCGTTTAATGAGGAAACGGAAAAACTTCGGCATACTCCCAAATTTGATACTATATAAATCAAATTATAAAATTCCTCAATCAAATATATCTCCAAGATAATTGATACCTTCGTGATCTAATTCCACATTATGATTATGAAATAACGCGTAAGAATTTCAATATTATACTTTTTATAACTCTCTGATATAATGAGTATATTCGAGAGTATAATTTGGTGAGTTCAAAACTGAAATATCGGCAATATGGAATCCCATACATAATCAATTTATCGCCGTTATCGAAATATTTCATAAGAAATGTTTAAAATTCCCAATATTTGGCATTTATTTTCAAATAAATTTGAATAATTTTGAACTGATATATTAATTTGATATGCAAATTGCTAAATGCATTCAATGTCAACGAATATGATATGCATTAGCGCAAACAACTAGGCCCTGACATTCCTGATATTGATCAAGTTACTAATAAAATATCATGCACTACCAAAAAAATTTCATTTTCTTTCTTCTGTAATGTCGAATGGTTGCATAAGTGACGCTATGAATTTGAATGGATTCCTTAAAATAGACATCAGTAATGTCAATGATATTATAAATCATTATAATATGCCCACTGGGAATTTTCGGCCCAGATCTCATTATCGTGATATTTACTATAATCCACAATTATTGAAATATGTAAGAAATTTGATATTTGCATATTTATCTTTGACACATTCGAATTTATCTAGAAAAATACCTATTACTTATAGGGAAATTATTGATTACTTGAAATTTCAAATGTCATTTATAAAAAAAATTTAAAAATGTTTTTTTCAGTACAATTGAGAATATATCATTGTCAAAATCCTTAGGCTTGATACATAACTGTAATACCATCAAAACTTTGAAATATTGCAATATTTATATATACTGTCAATTCTCGTACTGGCAATTGCAGCTTTCATTGCAAAACTGCATTCCCTTATCATCAATTATAAATTAGAAATAGTGATAATGTTTTAAAATGTTTAATAAAACTCTACCTTGAAACGTTGGAATGGATCTCGTGAACCAATTATAAGAATCTAGATAAAAACCACTTGCGGAAATAATTATATGTCCATCAACGCTGGCAAATTTGATATTATGTAATACACCCAAGTAATCAAGAAGGAAGAAATAGTCTATTATAAAATTCCGTTGATCAAAGACTCCAAGTCACGAAATCCATGATCAATTATTATTATTCCATTATAGAAAATTCGATGAGTGTCCCGAAGGAAGCAACTGAATTACATATGAATACTATTTCTTCCACTTTTAATTATTGGTTTGAATTGTTTGAAGTGTAGAAGATTTAGGTATCTTGACTTTATTAACATTTTTTTTAGTATTTCGAAATGACATCATGTAATGAATATTAAGTACTCTGAATGTTGTAACCAAATAATGTCATTAGATAACAACGAAGGGGCGAGTGTGCTTTGTATTACATTGTCGGCACCACACCACGTGGTGATCGGTTTTCATATTTTGATTAGAAGCTCTAGTCGATGAGATGGTTCAAACTCGGTATCTAAATTATTTCGACAAGTGACTTGACAGTTATGACGAAAATCATGATTGCCAACAATGAAATATAAAATCCGACGACTACTTAGTTCTTATCAAATATGGTCAATTGTTTCTTTCTCAATGAAAATATCGTAGAAATATTGGTTAGTTTCTTCTTCAGCTCACGTATTTTTAATGATCTCGAAGTTCAACACAATTTTCTGAATTTTACTCGCCATTTAGCGGTTTTGTATGCGTGAGCTGAGATCCTGAAGATATTTTGTAATATAAACACCATTCTTACGTAAAATTTATTCATGATCTCTTTTATTTTCCTTCAATATAACATGCACATGAGTTACGTACGAGAAGTTTTCTTGGCAGGTCGTATTCACTTCCTTTTCGATATTGCTTATTTGAAAGTGTGAAATACTGATGTTCTAGGTTTTTCTAAGATTTTTTTCTGAATCTTTTGCCAATTTCTTATTCATGTATTTTGTTGATTCATAAACTTAGATAAATAAGCGAAATTGAATTCTCATCAGTATTCATTATTTGAGTAGAAAACTCGATGTGTTCTTTGTAATGTCGTTTCCTCAGAATTGTTTAAATCAGTAAAATATCAGTCAAATATTTTCAAGTACTAATGGTCGATTGAATCCTTCAAATTTTTGGACGGATCTCTCCGAATCAAAAGAGTCATAAATTTGAAAATTTATATAATGATAAGTATGTGATCAATTCAATGGAATCTTATTTGGTCCTTTGTTATGCTGTCAAACAGGTTAGATACAAATTAACAAACTGTGTGAACCGTAAAAAAACAAAGCCGATTTGGAGTTCACTCAAATTGACAGAACCTGCTAAAGGCATAGACGAATGTTTAGAAGAAGCGTTATTATACTTTTTGAAAATATGGAATCTGTTTATGCAGTCAACTCACCCAGAAACAACATTATATAACTTGAAAGCTATTAACGAAAGTTATTTTTCTTTTTTTATTCTTACAGTTCTTACAGTAGATTCGTATTCCTTTTCTTTCAACTCACGGGCTTTTGTGTTTTCTTTTATAGTATGATATTCAATCGAAAAATTATATCTAACAATGAAGAGTCGACACTTGATGAAAATCCCCAACGAATCCGAAATAAGAGTAGAATTGATTAAAGACAGTACAGCAAAGGTAACAGTCCCTCCGATTTATTTTTTTTCCGGAATACCATATTGTTTTGACTCTGCTACAATTGACCACCTGCAAAATCTGAGCCGTTTGTTCAGGAGGTAAAGCTACTGAATAAGATAAAAATACATCCCGAAATACAGTATTTCAAATTTGAGTACACCAATCATTGAAAAAGATACGGGTGCTTGACGCCCTATATTTTTACTTTTCGCAGATCATAACTCGAGAAGAATCAAGCAAACAGTTATCGAGCCCTTTTTCAATCGAATTCCATTACAGCCGTGTACAACCAGATTAATGGGTTTTTCAAAACCTAATCAGGAAAGAGTAACTTCTTTAACCAACATTACGGTTATTGAAAAATTCAATATCATTTTTTTCTCTCGAGTATAATAGATTTTCGTCACGTCCATATTGGCTAACTAAAATAGAAACAGGTTTTTAATTTAATTGTTTTTGTATGGTCAACGGTACACCCGAGTCTCTAGATGAGTTTGCGAAATGATCGTGCCTTCGTTCAATTGTTTTTTCCATATCACAGCCTTTGTGATGCCATCACAAGCAAGCGGGTTGCATTCTTCTCTTATTGACTGGAAAGTGTCGAACGCAATAATTTGGATATCTTAGCATTGATACGCGTCCGGTCATTGAACTAGTCCGAGGATTGATATACAACATAACAACGCCGTGTCGCGTTTAGGTGTTAGGACATTCCGTGAAAGACCTTGACCTATCTGTTGCTCTCTTTTTACTGCTGTAGATTCGAGTATAGGATTATTGGAAACGTTGAAAGGGGAGGGCAAAACTTTGAAATTGAAGAACAAGAAATCAAGATTTGGAAGCGGCTTACAGAATTAATAATAATTTATGCAAATTAATTGAAAGCAATGGAGACAAAACGTCAGTGTTGAATAGATCAGGAGTGTATAAGTTGACTCGTGATTCTTGTGCAAAACTTTATATTGGCCGAACAGGGAGAACCTTTTCCCTAAGAATGAAAGAACATAGGAGTAGTTTAATGAATGTGAAGACCAATTTGCAAACCATCATTTGGTAGAGGAACATGAGTTCAACAACGACTATGATTTATAACATTTGGAACTTAGTCTTTTAGAATGCTTGGAAATTATTAGATTCAAAAATCGAATTTACTGTACGACAAAAAAAATTGGATCCAAAAAAACTTATACAAACATGGTACTGATGTTATATAAACAAACTCAAGATATATTCTGAATGCAGAGTTAGTATCTTTTCAAAAAACTGGAAAAACGATGTGAAAATGTGAAAGCTGTCAAATGAAATTCATAAATCATTATAAAGTAATTGTTCCACTATTTGAAATGAATGTAATAACTGAATGATTCAATGAAACGCAGATCTGGAAACTCTGGCTTAGAATGAATTCAAAACAATTTTCTATCATAAAATAATAACTGGAATGTATGCACAGTTAGGTAATATACAGCTTTTGTATCTCATGGAAAATAGCAGTTACGTAGTTTTACAACTAATCTGAAAACATCCGATAATATATAAGTTGGTATTTAGCAAAAACCATCCAATAAATATCACAAAAAGGCACATGAAAAAGAATATGAATATTGACAAAAAAGTAGCAATACATGATAATTGAAATATCTGAAGTATATCATATAAATAATCTTTCAAACTGTGGTTGTTTTTTTAAACAGGAGATTATTGGTCAAAATATTTGAATTGTTCCAAATGAAGAACACCTTTCTTGAAATCAATGTTCCTGCAATGAATAAATAGTGGAAATAGTGAAAGCTTTTTATTCTACACTACATATTCAAAACAACTTCCATTTATAGTACATCCACATGG